GGGGGGTTGCGTGAGTGAAAATAAAAGACCCGACTTTTCTCCCGGGTGAAAGAACAAAGATCCCTCCAAAAAAAAAAAAAAAAAAAAAAAAATCATTTTAAAGCTTTGAACTCCAATTTCCTCACATATAAAATGACTGGAGTAGCTGATCTCATGGACAATCCTACTCAGGTAACATGTATCAACTGATTGCCGGAAGACAGAATGATAATCATGCCCCCAAAATTAGAGTATTCGCAGACAACTGCCAGAGCAAAAATTTTAAATTTTAGATACATACATACACACACAAAAACAAATACTAACACTCTACATGCCAGATATGGGGGTGGTGGGCTGTGACCAAGACATGATGTAATGCATGTGCCAGAGGGTTGTACTTTTAAAAAGGAGTAGAAGAGTAAGTCTTTAGAGTAGCAGCTGCTGGGTAGGAGGTATTTAGTCCATAGAACTGCTCTTAGATTGGAAGGGCATGGGAGAATACAGTTCCATTATGTGATAGGGTTACACACAGACACACACACACACGTGAGAAAAATCACTCAACTGTAAGCATTCAAAAGACAGACATCTTTCTTCTCTTTGTGGCTCCTGTACCTAGCTCAGTTCATAGAAGCCACAATAAGTACCCAATAAATATTAGTTGATCATTTACTGATTTACCATTAACTAATTCATGCCTGCTCTAGTGCTGTGGTCTGAGTGTGTACCCTAAAGTTCATGCTGAAAGCCTAACCCCCCAGGTGATAGTATAAAGAGGTGGGGCCTTTGGGAGGCTTTGCCCTCATGAATGGAATTAATGCCTCTATAAAAGAGTCCCTAGAGAACCCCCCCTCTACATGAAGTTATGGTGAAAAGACAGCTGTCTATGAACAAGGGAGAGAGCCCTCACAAAGATGTCAAATTTGTTGGCACCTTGATCTTGAACTTCTCAGCCTCCAGAACGTGAGAAATAAACTTCTGTTGTTTATAAGCCACCCTGTCTGCAGTATTTTGTAATAGCAGTAAGAACAGACTAAAACATCTGGTAACATTCTCTGGTAAATACTAGGAATTCCTGGCCTTAAAGAGTGAGTTCATAGCTAATGAGAAAAGAAAGAAACAATATAAAGGATAACATGCTGTAGTCCACTATATACAACGGGCTTCCAGACCATTCAGAAAAACTGGATGAAAGATTTCTAAGGTACTACGTACTGAGTGCCTACGTGTAAGGCGTTTTACATACTTAAAGCCTCACAACTCTCGGGTAGTTTCACCAACCCATTTTACAGATGACAAAACTGTGGCTTACCAAGATTAAGGGGCAGAATTAAAAGAAGGGTCTAATTTCAAAGATGTTACCACTATACACACCATAATGTCTTGTTATTACATTTTCTCTTCACACTTGGCAGTGAGGGGAAAGTTCAAAACCAGTCAAAAAAGTTTTGTCCTGAACCAACATGAAATGAGCACCTAAAACTTTACCCAGTAAAGTCTTGAGAAGTGAAAGATCACTTCTAAAAATTTGTCTTCAACCTGATCTAAAAATCAAAAAACTAATTTTCTTTCAGCAGCTGCATATGTACTTAATGTAATGTTTCTACATCTAGACCTATACAAGTATAGGTCTAAACAAAACATGCGCAACATGATTGGAGAACATAACTAGCAGTCATTTAAGAAAACAGACATTTGGAAACATTTCAAGTGCATGGGATGAAAAATTTAGCTATGACCTACACATCTGGATCATTCCACTAACAGTATATTATCACAGTTTACACAGTAAATTATCACAGTAAATTTTTTTTGAGGCGAGAAGGAGATTGAAATAGAAATGATTTAAAGTTTAAGAAATACAACTAATTATGAAGATACTGTAGGTACCCAATAAATCCTGTTAAATGGACTGGACAAGTGGAATGAGAACATGTTTTCCCACACCTCTGACTAGTACTTACCTTTCTTAGAAAGCCATTTTTTCAGCCATGAAAAAAGGGGCAGAATTTAGTACAGATAAAATAGAAGAGGCTTATAAATCCTCTGAAAGGAAATCAACACACAGTATTTTGTGTCTCTGTATAAAGTTAAGCTCCTCAGGGACAGGGGCAATGTCCAGAGGATGGTGGGCATACTACTTAGCAAACTAATACAGGTTAATAAATATTGACACAATAAAACTGTCACAGTTTACACTCTAATTTTGTAAATAAAGATGAGTTAATTCCTACTGTGCTCTTGTGTTTCTCCTGTGTATATTACAAATACATTAAGATTGCAAATTATTTCTTGAAGCTATTTCCTTTTTTATTTTGTGGTCAAGCTTATCAGTGTTTCTTAAAGGGCTTCTGGTCATCCTTAGGGCTTATCAGTAGCATCATTAATATTGTATTCATTTCACTAATGTGGTAAGTAACTTAGATTTAAAAGCAGGATCTAATTTCAAAGCTATTTCCACTATACATACCAAGACAAAACTTTCTTATCTCTCTTAAATTCTAAATTTTACGTGATTTACCAAATTAACTCTTAAGTAAGAGTACTTGTTGGTCAGAAATGCGAGACAAACATTTATCCCACTTGTCCAATTTATTCAACAAGACCTCTGTGTCTCTGGTATGTAACTTTCAACAGTTGTATTTCTTAACCTTTGGGTTGTCTCCCAAAAAAATCTGTAATAATTTGCTGCTTCTCTCAATATTGCAGGCAGTGAAGCGATCCAAAATTATGGGTCATATCCATATTCCTTCATGACTGGAGCTAACTGCACTGTAAAAGGCTATTAGTTTACATTTTCAACAGCACCCTAGCCACGTAATAAATATAATCTCAAACAGATTTTGTACTGTTAATAATTTAGCAAACTCATAAAAGTCATTAAAAAAATGTAGACGCTAGATTCTCTTTCAAGGATGCCAAACTTCACCAGTGTATGTATTAAAATTATTTTAAAATTTTTACGGACTAAGGCATTTGGTACATTCAACTCTGCCTTTATCAACAAAAGCCTTTACCACCAAGATGAGGAAAGCATCCTTTTCCTTTTATACACTAAAACGGGAAAGAAAAAGGCCAACTGCTTGCATGCAGGTCTGCATTTAACACAGCCGTCTCTGGCAAAACCAATAACTCACGTTCAACTTCAGAAATCCTGGTAGCCGGCTACACATGAGTAATCTGTGAACACAACCCTTGGGCTTGACACACCACTTCATCCGCCCTCCCTCCCCATCAATCCACCCCCAAAGCCCCAACCCAGCACACGGCTAAATATGTCTTCCCCAAGAGAGCCCAAAACCTCGACAACGCCGAGAAAGAAGGAAAAGGCCTGCCCTTCCCCGCCTGGGGCCCCGGCTGGCTCGACGAGGCTGGCTCCGAGGAGGCCCAAATCTCGACGCCGTGCACGTCCCGCCCCGCCCCGGGCCCCCTCGCGTCCCCTCCGGCGACAAAACCCTCCCGCCGGCGTTCAGCCACGACTGACAGTTACGGCTGCAGCAGCCGCGGTCACCAGGGGCCTACTCCTGGCACCAGCGCCTCCGGACCACGCGCCCCCAAACACTCGCCTCGGCGGCGGGGGGGCGGGGAACGGGGGTGCCGAGCTCGCCACCGAGGGCCCGGAAGGCCGGCCGGGCGACCGAGGACGGGGGAAAGGCAGCGCCGCCTGGCGCAGGCCGCGGCAACACTGACCTGTCGTCGCCCCCGCGCCTGGGCTGCGGCGGCCGCCTCGCTGGTCGTCGTCGCCCTCGTCCGCCGCCTCCGCCCGCCACCGCCTCGTTCCCTCTCGCTGCCGCCACCGCCGGGGCTCATGCGGGACCCGCGCTTCCTTCTTCGGAAACCAAGGCCGGGAAAGGGGGCGCCGGAGCCGCCAAAATCCCGGCGTTCGTCGCCAGCCGCCGCTGCCTGTCCACGCCGGGGGTCTGCGGGGCCCGCCTGGCAGGGGCTACAGGCCGCGAGCTATTCCGAGGAGGAGCCGAGGGAGGCGCCGCCGCCCGCAGCTGAGCGCGCCGGGTCGGCAGAGGTGAAGCGTAAGTAGGCGGCGGATGGCGGGCGCCCGGGCTGGCGGATGGCTACGCGGCGGCGGGGTGCGCGAGCGAGCGAAGGGTGATGTGTCGGGACCCGGCGAAGGGAAAAGGCCCTGTCGTCTCCTGTAGTCACCCCGAGCCCAGCGCCACCATCTTGGGAGAAACACGGATCTCGCGGCCGCGGCGCAAGACGGGAGGACTGGCTGGGCGGGCCGAGTATCCCGGCAGGCAGCGCGCGCGCCCGGCCGGGCGAGGGCTCCAGGCCGGGACGCGGGGACGTGGGGCGGGGCCAAGACGCGCGGGAGGGCGCCGCGCTCCGCCCCTCCCTCCCTCGCCTGCCCCGCCCCCCTCCCGCTTGCCGTCGCCGGCGGCGCACGGGCCATCGGGAAGGGGAGGCGGCCCGCGGCCCCTCGGAGTCCCACCAGGTTCCGTCGCCATCTTGCGACTGGACAGAAAGGGTGAACCCTCCTTGTCGTTCCTGCTGTCCGTGACCCGAAAGAATAAACCTGGTGCATCCGGAACCCCCCTGGAGCCCCCCAGGCGGGTTGCAGAGCCCTTTGGTGTGCCCAGCCGAGGAACGCCTCAGACCGCTGGGAGACGCGTGGTTCCGAAAGTCAGCAGAAAACGCAGGAACAGCCCCCAGCCCCGAGGCGGGGCAGGAGCCTGCGGTTCCCAGCTTTCCGACCCCAGCCCCTTTCCACCCGGAGCTGCCTGTGTAGACGTTGCAGGAGCGGCCCGAGAGTGCAGGCGAGATTTTAGGGGACCAAGGTCATCTGCTTAGGCCTCTTGCCAACACAGGATGTGTCCCTAGTTTACCTGAGACGAAGGTAAAGTCCCGTCTCCTGCAGTTTGACGTTCAGTAGGTCGTCGGTTCAGAGAAGTTCCTCCTTGGTTAACCCCAACTGGATAGAGGCCAACTTTGATGAACATGACAGCCGAACCTTGTTAAAGCCATTACAGTTAAACCCATTTAAAGTCATATTTATGGGACTTTAGGTCACCATTTTATTTTAAAAGTTTTTTTTTTTTTTTTTTTTTTTTTTTTTAACCATACATATACACACACACACACACATACACACATATATACATATATATAGCTTTACAACATTTGGTTGCAAAGCCGTAAGAGTATCACTAACAATTCCTAGTGTTATGACTTGCAGCTTTGCTAAGCCCTTGAACTACTGTATGAGTCCCCACGTCTAGTATTCAGATTTTTTAATATCAACAGTCATACATAGTGGTGTATCTTTTTTAAATTTTTATTTTTAAACTTACACATGGAGCCTCACTATGTTAGGCCCAGGCTGGTCTCAAATTCCTGGCCTCAAGTGATTCTCCCACCTCGGCCTCCCAAAGTGCTGGGACTACAGGCATGAGACACAGCGCTAGGCCAGCAGTATGTTTTTTTAACTGTCAGTGTCAGAGCATCTTTTTTATATAGCCAAGTGCGTCCGCCTCACAACTATATCCAACTATTGAAAACCAACAATAGGCTAGAAGAATTTGTTACTCTAGGACAACTGATGATAAATGACAGCATGAAGCCATATTCAATTTTAAGATGTTTTAACTCAGGTCTTTATTCAGTTTTCCTCTCATTACACATCCACATTTGGTGACTATTTGCTGTTATATATAATGGAAAGGACTAGTAAGAATCATAATCTTTCAGAAATTTATCTTTGCAAGTTTTCAAAATAGACAACAAAGAATGTAAATCTTTAAGGACTTTATTGTTAGAATAATTAAAGCATACCATTACTACTATATCTAGCATGTGGAGATACTTTTAGATGTTCTACTTCCTTTTAAGTAGAAATTGTCAATAAATGAAATATAATTTTGTATTAGCCTGGTGTATCAAAAGTGGCAGAAATTCCTGAGTTCCAAAAAGATTAAAGACCGAAGGGAAATAAGTCTGCTTTTAGCTAGATGTCAGAATGACTATCCATTGCTTTACTGACATCAAGGAGGATCTTAATTCCTGCTATGAATCTGGAAAAATCACCTATATCCCTTTTAGTTCATTAATTTTAAATATGTATTCTTAGGTGTGACATTAGTGTTAGACTTGCTTTCAAGACCTCACTGTGCTTTTTGCTTTATCCATTTTCAAATATAGAAATATTTGCTGATCAAAATTACCAACATAAATATTTTCAGGAATCCTTAAGATACTAGTAGTGTTCCACTTCCCTGTACATCAGTTTATATGAAAAAAAAAAAATTCTGCCATATCAGACCTATGTTTTTTATTTTCAGTTGTGTTTTTCCCAGAAAAGCAACTTTGTATCTACTAAGTGAACAGTGATTTCTTCAGACTTCTAGTACACAGTTTGATTTTATAAACATCTGCATCAATGCCTTGAGCAAACTTTGAGCAAATGTTTATCCAGAACTATTTATGTGTCATACATTGGACTACTCGAACTACTATTTATGTGCCAGACCTTGGGAAACAATAAAAGATGAACAATCTCTATTCTTGCCCTCAAGAACTTGCGGTTCAAAAGGAATTCACACCTGTAAGACTGGACACTTTTTCAGAGTAACCCAACACCTCATTGATCATGAGGGTACCTACTAATATGTATCTGCTAATACTGACAAACTTTTTTTTTTTTTTTTTTTTTTGAGACGGAGTTTCGCTCTTGTTACCCAGGCTGGAGTGCAATGGCGCGATCTCGGCTCACCGCAACCTCCGCCTCCTGGGTTCAGGCAATTCTCCTGCCTCAGCCTCCTGAGTAGCTGGGATTACAGGCACGTGCCACCATGCCCAGCTAATTTTTTGTATTTTTAGTAGAGACGGGGTTTCACCATGTTGACCAGGATGGTCTCGATCTCTTGACCTCGTGATCCACCCGCCTTGGCCTCCCAAAGTGCTGGGATTACAGGCTTGAGCCACCGCGCCCGGCCAAACTTTTTTTAAAGGAAACATTTTACCCTGAATTGCTGGCGAAGTTGTTTTTTGACAGAGCTGTTTTGTTACTGAAGATTTTTTATTGTGCCTGTCCTAACATATGAATCAAAATGTGAAGACAACTCTTACTACTCAGCATGCCCCAGGATCAGAAATAAGTCAAGAGCATGGAAGAGACAAAATTCAGATATAGTGGGATAGAAGTCACTGTTGCTATTTTTAGGCTGCATCAAAATGTTACACACTCAACTTTTGAAAGACACTAAGCTATCAGTATATGAATAGCTCCCATTCTGTTGAGCAAGCTTAGTTCCGTGAAGAGCACTGCTTGGCATATGATAAGTACTCAATAAATGTTAGTGCTTAGTAGTAGTAATATTAGTATTATATGTATCATTGTTTAGTATTGCACACATCAGGCATGAACTCCTACATGCCCCCACCCTTAAATGCCTACAGACGTGTCTAAATTTGCATTCGTTGTGACCTCCAGTCTTAAGGTAGAAGCCATCCTTCTGTCCTTTCTACAGGTAATTTTTATGTCTTGAGGGAAGGGAGCTTCATTCAACACTCTTACTCCCTTCAGCATTACCTCTCCTGTTCATAAATTCTCCCTCTACTTTGTCCCTTCTATTTAGAAAAGCTGTCTATACTTGGACCTATTATCTACCAAATCCCTCTTCGACTACGGAAGTGTAGCAGCTCCCTGCATTTTACTATATGCATTGCTTTTATCAATTTCATTGTGGCGTAACGGCCAAATTGAAAGTTGCTTCTCAGTTTTCATAGCATCTGACCTCTCTGCAGCCTTTCACGCTGCCAACCACTGCCTCCTGGAAACTGCTCCCTTGGTTCTGTCACCTTACAGTCTCTGCTCTTCTGCCTTGTCTTAGGCCACTCTTTTTCAGGTCTCCTGTGCAGAATCCTCCCTCTCCATCCTTGGTTCTCTTTGCCTACCATGTTATAATCTTTGATAGAGCTATTTACATATACTCTTCTGTCACTTATTTCAGTCAGGGATCAAGTCTGAATCTTGAACACAGACCTCAGTCAAAAGCATCGACGCAGTATCTTCAACCCCTTATTGGAAACTTGTCCTGGGTGTTCTGCAGGCACCTCGGGCTCAACATGTCTAACATCAAGCTCCTGAGTTTGTTGTGTTTTCCACCATTGACTGAGATGTGATAACAATGCAAAGGAGCAGGTTTGGGAAGAACAAGCAGGCTAGCTTTGGTAATGTTAAATTTGAGATACCTGTTTGCATTCTCCTCTTCATCTGTAATAATAGAACATCTAGCCAGATACAGGCTTGCCTATAATAAACCCTAAGTGTGGCCATATCTCTGAGTTCTGGCCAGTAGAATGTGAGCAGAAATGATGTATGCAACTTCCAGATCATTTTCTGAAAGAAAGTGGGTGTCACTTGCCCTTTCTTTTTGTCTTTTTCTGATGAGTGTATGTATTAAATAGTTGGGGTAGTGAACTATGTTGGAAGATGCTGTGGTTTGAATGATGGCATACCCTTCAAAATTCATGTTTAAACTTAATCACCATTGTGGTGATATTAATAGCTGATTGAATCATCAGGGCCCTGCCTCATGGATGGATTAGTACCCTTGTAAAAGGACTGGAGGGAACTAGCTTAGGCCTTCTTTTGTTCTTGCATCCCTTTAGCCACATGAGGACACAGCATTCACCTCCTCCAGAGGATATAGCAATAAGGTGCCACCTTGGAAACAGAAAGCAGCCCTCACCAGACACTGAACCTGCCGGGGGTCTTGATCTTTTACTTCCCAGTCTTTAGAACTGTGAAAAAGGATGTATCTGTTCTTTATAAATTTCCCAGTCTCAGGTATGTTGTTATAACAGCATAAACAGACTAAGACAAGGGGAAACATTCTAGGGATTGCAGAGCAACAAGGAGGGACCCTGAGGACTTCACTGGGAAGGCCCTGTGTACCAGGTCAACTCTGATGTAAGACAGCTACTGACTTCTATGATCTGCCGTGGTTATTCTAAATCCCTTTTACTGCAGCAGACTTTGTGTCTTAATATCCAAGCAAAGATATCAGGAGGCAGTTGGATGTGGAAGTCTAGAGTTAGAGGAGAATGAAACCAACTCATCCTTCATTCTTTGACTTGATTGGTGAGTCTACCATCTATGAATAATGTTAGTGATCCTAGATTTCTTCCTTTCCCTCACCTGGCAATTAAGAGGCAAAGTTGTATATCTTTAAAAAATTGGCTTTAGAATTGGTGTAGCAAAGTGGCTGAGAGCACAGGCCCCCAACTTACGGCAAGTGCAGAGATGCCAGGCAAGATTGTAAACTCCTTTCTGATTTAGTTTTCTCATCTATAAAATGGAGTTGTTGTGAGAATTAGGTGTTAATATACTTAAAGCTCTTAGAATAATCCTGGGCACAGAGTACAAGCTCAACAAAGGCAGGCTTCCCCCCCTGCCCTCCATGCAAATCCCAGTTCTGCCACTTTTACCAGATATGCAACCTTGAGTACTTCAATTAATATCTGTTTCCTCTTTAGGAAAGTGGGAAAAAATAGGACCACTCTAATCCTTCATTCATCCATTCAGTGCATATTTATTGAATAGGTGCTAT